CAATCTAAAATTTCAAATAATTAAATAGTAGTTTCTAAAATGCAGAGTTTTCTTGATTATTGGCACATCTGTTTTAAATCCTTCTTAAAATGCATACCCAAATTCATTATAAATACCTTTGGCCTTGGAATAAAACATGAACAGGCAAGAATATTCCTAAAGCATCACAACAAACGAATATTGTGACTGAAGGCTTTTCGTTGCTACTTGCTTCTTAAGCCCTTTTAAACCTTTTTGACACAACCTTAAATTTGCCTTGATCACATAGAAGACCAGATTCATTACAATTAAAATTGTGGAACGGTTTAGTTGTGAATCCATGTATATTGTACATATCAGAAACTTGTGCAAACCTTGATTTAAGAAATAAATAAAAAATTATAAAGTAGGTTATTAAAATGCTATAAATTGAGCAGTTTATAAAAAAAAGAACAATTTTTAAACATTACAATCAAATTGAAATTTTACCTTTAAAAATTGCACTTTTTTTTTAAATTAAATAACAATTAATTATGAAATATATTTACATATAAACATAAAATTTTAATAAATCGATCAATAGTGCCTGGCTAAGTCTACATTGCGCAGTTTGACAGTACATTATTTGAAGTTCTGAGCGATAGCTCTTCACAATGACGTCTAATAAATGAGTAATACCAGGCAAGTGTAACTTCGCTGTTGTTAAAACACATTTGATTTGAATTAACCAAATAGTTGTTATCAACATACAGTATTTCAAGTCTACTCAAACTAAAACCAATATCACTCATAAATATTTAAATTTTTACTAAAATGCCTTTGATGTTTTTGCTTAACTTAGTTGGTTTGTCATTTTTTTTAGTATGCTTGCTGTTACTTCTGTTGATGAAAGTTGATCTTTTAAAGCCAAATGTTATAGCTGCTTTCCTTTTACTCATACTTTTATCTACAGCCTTTAAACCACGAGCCATCCAAGCTTTCTCATGTAAATCCATAGATGACATAGATGTATTAACTTGACAAAAACTCTTTTAATGCGTTGCAATATAGATTATTGTTTTGTAATTACTTCATATTGAGTGATTTAAATTTACCAGTATTTTTTGAAATCAAAATTTACCTGGAAATTGACCAGAAATTTACCTGGAAATCGACCTGTTTTGTTTTAAAACAGGGTAATTTTAAAAATTCTTTATCCAAATAAATTACCATGGTGAGCATCCATTATAAAAATGTCAAAACTTACTGGTAAATTTACAGGTAAAGTTACCTGTAAATTTACGCAATTGCAACACAAGTTCATATTCACTTCAAAGTCACATTTTTAACATACTAACATTTTACAACATTCGTTCTAATTGTTTCCTTTGTTGTTTTTCCGTGAATGACCAAAGTTAGAGTATTTAAAAATTTCACTATTTTTATTAAAAAAAGTAGTTAATTTATAAAAATTAAATTTTTTTTTTTTGTAAATATAATTAATTTGGTGATTCTTAATAATGCTATGATTAAATATGATCATTTATTTTAATAGTTTGCTTATTTTAGATTTTAATTGTATTCATTTTTTCAAATTGTTGTTTTGCTAAAGAATTATTTTAGCAGGTTGCATATAAATATTTTTTTTTTTTTTTTTATAGATTTGTACTATTTGAGAAAAAAAAGTTTGTAAAATTTTAGTTTTGCATGCTTTTTTCATATTTTTTCTTAAATGACCGAAGTTACATGGTGACCGAACTTATGCAGTTTTATGGTATATAAAAAAGATTGCATAATTTTGTTTAAGTTTTATTAGTTTTTAAAATTTGATCCAAATTTACCAGTTTGTGTTGAATGAACTGCAACATTGATAAACTAGATGTAAGCAAATTAGTTTATTATTTAAACATTCATTTTGTGAGGCTGATTGTTGAGAAAAAAAAATTTAGTTTTGAATTTTTAGAAAAAAATTATTGTTCATTATTTATGTTAGCTGATTTATCTTTTTAAAGGTGTTTAGTTAAAAAAGGTTTGGCACCTTATAATTCATAATTAAAATCATTTAATGATTCTGTTGTTTTTCGTTTACCAAAATCAATTAGGTACATTAGAAAATGGCAGACATGAAAAAAATCAACTAGTTAAATTAGAAAAGAGACATGAATTCTTTTGGAATCGAATCTCTCTTTATTTTTTATCTCAAAAGTTATGAAATTTTTTTTTTCGTATACTGAATGAAAACATTCAGTGTACTTCTAAATCAACTTCCTAAATCAACAAACAGCCTCAGGGAATCAACAAACAGCCTCAGGGAATCAACAAACATCCTCAGTGAATCAACAAACAGTCTCAGGGAAAAAAAATTTGTGGTTGTTACAGTTTTTTGTTACAACAATGAAGTAAGTCATGTTTCTACTTATACCATTCAGTTATTTGAACTTGCATCTATTAAAAATTTGTTTATTCTAAGTATTTTTTGCTTCAAACAAAAAATCTCTCAGTTATTTAATAATTCTGACTTATTATTAAAAGACAATATTGAAAGAAGTTGTGATTTTATTTACTCTGAAGTTTTTAGAATTTACAAACCAGTTTTTGCGATATATTTTAAAATCTTACAATTCCCAGTAAATTGTAACAGACAAGACAACAATGAATACAATTGTTTTAACATGCAAATTTTAAAGTTAAGAAAAATTTCTATAGCCTGTTTATTGCTTACAAAATTGATACTAGATCAATCTTGGATACCATCTCACAGATGTTGGCTATCATCTCATTGATGTTAACTACCATCTCAAATCTTTGGGAGAAGAAGTTTGTTGTTTCATTGCACAATGTTTAGGGAGATTTAAAGATATTAATGTATTGCATTTTAAAACATCATAAATAGAGTCAAAGTTTAATGTGTATAATGCATAAATTCATAAGTATTTATGAATGAAACTGTTTTTTTAAGTTTAAAAAAAAAAAAGAAATTAAAAACTAATGTACTAATATTTAAATAATTATTCGAAATCATAATTGATCATAATTTTTATTGAATGAAATATTTTGACAGATTAAGATTGTCATTTTCTGTATGTAAAAACTCAAATTTCTTAAAATGTTTTTTCTGTATGTAAATACTCAAATTTCTTAAAATGTTTTTTCTGTATGTAAAAACTCAAATTTCTTAAAATGTTTTTTCTGTATGTAAAAACTCAAATTTCTTAAAATGTTTTTTCTGTATGTAAAAACTCAAATTTCTTAAAATGTTTTTTCTGTATGTAAAAACTCAAATTTCTTAAAATGTTTTTTCTGTATGTAAAAACTCAAATTTCTTAAAATGTTTTTTCTGTATGTAAAAACTCAAATTTCTTAAAATGTTTTTTCTGTATGTAAAAACTCAAATTTCTTAAAATGTTTTTTCTGTATGTAAAAACTCAAATTTCTTAAAATGTTTTTTCTGTATATAAAAACTCAAATTTCTTAAAATGTTTTTTCTGTATGTAAAAACTCAAATTTCTTAAAATGTTTTTTCTGTATATAAAAACTCAAATTTCTTAAAATGTTTTTTCTGTATGTAAAAACTCAAATTTCTTAAAATGTTTTTTCTGTATGTAAAAACTCAAATTTCTTAAAATGTTTTTTCTGTATGTAAAAACTCAAATTTCTTAAAATGTTTTTTCTATATGTAAAAACTCAAATTTCTTAAAATGTTTTTTCTGTATGTAAAAACTCAAATTTCTTAAAATGTTTTTTCTGTATGTAAAAACTCAAATTTCTTAAAATGTTTTTTCTGTATGTAAAAACTCAAATTTCTTAAAATGTTTTTTCTGTATGTAAAAACTCAAATTTCTTAAAATGTTTTTTCTGTATGTAAAAACTCAAATTTCTTAAAATGTTTTTTCTGTATGTAAAAACTCAAATTTCTTAAAATGTTTTTTCTGTATGTAAAAACTCAAATTTCTTAAAATGTTTTTTCTGTATGTAAAAACTCAAATTTCTTAAAATGTTTTTTCTGTATGTAAAAACTCAAATTTCTTAAAATGTTTTTTTTGTATGTAAAAACTCAAATTTCTTAAAATGTTTTTTCTGTATGTAAAAACTCAAATTTCTTAAAATGTTTTTTCTGTATGTAAAAACTCAAATTTCTTAAAATGTTTTTTCTGTATGTAAAAACTCAAATTTCTTAAAATGTTTTTTCTGTATGTAAAAACTCAAATTTCTTAAAATGTTTTTTCTGTATGTAAAAACTCAAATTTCTTAAAATGTTTTTTCTGTATGTAAAAACTCAAATTTCTTAAAATGTTTTTTCTGTATGTAAAAACTCAAATTTCTTAAAATGTTTTTTCTGTATGTAAAAACTCAAATTTCTTAAAATGTTTTTTCTGTATGTAAAAACTCAAATTTCTTAAAATGTTTTTTCTGTATGTAAAAACTCAAATTTCTTAAAATGTTTTTTCTGTATGTAAAAACTCAAATTTCTTAAAATGTTTTTTCTGTATGTAAAAACTCAAATTTCTTAAAATGTTTTTTCTGTATGTAAAAACTCAAATTTCTTAAAATGTTTTTATGGCAGTTTATATAATGTTTCTGGAGAAAAATTACTTCAAAGTTAAATATTTAAAATAAAAAAAGGTTTTTTTTTCTTTTCTTTGAATAACAAAAGTTAATCGTTGCTTGTGCGACCACCAAAAAATTGTTTCACATCGCTTTATTCCTTGAAAACATGTTGCAGATCTAAAAGACTCATACATTAATTAGAACAAACATACCTGCATATATACATTGATTTAGAAATAACTACATACACACATTAGAAATACCTACATACACACATTAGTTTAGGCAAAAATGCAGGCAAGCTATTAGCATCTTACAAATGTATTTATAACTGTATATTATATTATCAGAATATGTTCTACTTTAATCATTTTTAATATTATTTTTAATTTTTTATTATAATTAAAAATATGTGTTGTATTTTTGTTTGAAATATGCATCTTCTATTTAAAATTTTTTATGCATATCTACTTTAACTTTACTTGTAATTTAAGGGTGGCTACATTGGGCAATGTCATTCGATATTAAGGTTAATTTACCGCCAACACCACCTCCACCTTTTGTATGTGGTTTGTGTTACTATGGAAATTGTGGTCTTACAGGTAAATGTGAATGTGCTGATGGATATAGTGGACCAAGTTGCCTTAATAGTATGTTTTTTAAATAACTTTTTTACTTCTTTTTTTAAATACTATGTTTTAGCAATTTTTTATTCATCTATTTCAATAAAAGTTTTTTCACCAGTTGTTTGAATTTTATACTTTTTGAGTTTAAAAAGAAAAATTATGTGTAGTTGTATTTTTATGCTTTATATATATATATATATATATATATATATATATATATATATATATATATATATATATATATATATATATATATATATATATATATATATATATAGTTTTTTTTTAATGTCTTTTTAAGTAAATACAAAAGATTTTTTAACAAGCTTTAAATGAAGTCGGTTGAAATGAAGTTGGAATTAAAAAAAACAAATAAAACCCAATGAAAAACAACAACAATAAAACCTGGGCAATCATAACCAACATAAGCATATTATAGTAGCTAGTTAACAGATTATAAGTTTTTGGACTGGAATAAAAGCCATTTTATAACATTTAAATAACTTGAAATGAGCTTTTAATAAATATTGTTTCAGAAATCTGTTATCAGTTTATTTGTATTATGTTAAAAATTCATTCGATAAAACAAATAATTAAATTTTAAAACAAACCACCTTATTTTTTTCAATTTTAAACAATTTAAAATAATTTTTTTAAAGATTTATTTAAAGACTTATACAATTTATGCTTTTCATTATTTGAGACTTAAGTTAATCTACTCTTTAACAACTATTTTAATTTAATAATTTTATATTTAATTATTAAATAATTTCAATACTGATATAACTTTGATTATCAACAAATATGACAAAAAACAAGTGTTATATTAACAAGATACTAACATTTGAATTACTAACAATATTAGTATCTAACAAGATTACTAACAAGGATTACTAACAAGATTACAAAAATAAGAATTACTAACAAGTTTACTAACATAAAGATTACTAACAAGTTTACTCACATAAGGATTACTAACAAGTTTACTAACATAAAGATTACTAACAAGTTTACAAACATAAAGATTACTAACAAGTTTATAAACATAAGGATTACTAAAAAGTTTACTAACATAAAGATTACTAACAAGTTTATAAACATAAGGATTACTAACAAGTTTATAAACATAAGTATTACTAACAAGTTTATAAACATAAGGATTACTAATAAGTTTACTAACATAAGGATTACTAACAAGTTTACTAACATAAGGATTACTAACAAGTTTACTAACATAAAGATTACTAAAAAGATTACAAACATAAGGATTACTAACAAGTTTACTAACATAAGGATTACTAACAAGTTTACTTACATAAAGATTACTAACAAGTTTATAAACATAAGGATTACTAACAAGTTTATAAACATAAGGGTTACTAACAAGTTTACAAACATAAGGATTACTAACAAGTTTACAAACATAAGGATTACTAACAAGTTTACTAACATAAGTATTACTAATAAGTTTATTAACATAAGGATTACTAACAAGTTTACTAACATAAGGATTACTAACAAGTTTACTAACATAAAGATTACTAAAAAGATTACAAACATAAGGATTACTAACAAGTTTACTAACATAAGGATTACTAACAAGTTTACTTACATAAAGATTACTAACAAGTTTATAAACATAAGGATTACTAACAAGTTTATAAACATAAGGATTACTAACAAGTTTACAAACATAAGGATTACTAACAAGTTTACAAACATATGAATTACTAACAAGTTTACTAACATAAGGATTACTAACAAGTTTACTAACATAAGTATTACTAATAAGTTTATTAACATAAGGATTACTAACAAGTTTACAAACATAAGGATTACTAATAAGTTTATTAACATAAGGATTACTAACAAGTTTACAAACATAAGGATTACTAATAAGTTTATTAACATAAGGATTACTAACAAGTTTACAAACATAAGGATTACTAACAAGTTTACTAACATAAGGATTACTAACAAGTTTACTAACATAAGGAATACTAACAAGTTTACTAACATAAGGATTACTAACAAGTTTACAAACATAAGGATTACTAACAAGTTTAACAACACTTGGATCGCCAACACTAGGATTACTATCAAGATTACTAATATACGCTTTATGTTTAACTCTTGTCAAATATTTTCAGAGCCATCGAGTGCTGCTTATCCGACTCAATTGAAACCATTGAAACCAACATAAGCATATTATAGTAGCTAGTTAACAGATTATAAGTTTTTGGACTGGAATAAAAGCCATTTTATAACATTTAAATAACTTGAAATGAGCTTTTAACAAATATTGTTTCAGAAATCTGTTATCAGTTTATTTGTATTATGTTAAAAATTCATTCGATAAAACGAATAATTAAATTTTAAAACAAACCACCTTATTTTTTTCAATTTTAAACAATTTAAAATAATTTTTTTAAAGATTTATTTAAAGACTTATACAATTTATGATTTTCATTATTTGAGACTTAAGTTAATCTACTCTTTAACAACTATTTTAATTTAATAATTTTATATTTAATTATTAAATAATTTCAATACTGATATAACTTTGATTATCAACAAATATGACGAAAAACAAGTGTTATACAGGGGTGGGACCGCAAAATGTGAACACTTTTCTGATTGTAATAATTAATTTTCTGTTAAATATGAACTATTTTAAATAAGAATGTCCAATGGTTGGACATTCTTATTTAAAATAATTCATATTTAACAACTCTTTAGACACTTTCTGATGAGTGAGAGAGTACAACTACATCTAACGAGAAAATAGTTATAATAAAACAAAAACGTTCACATTTTGCGGTCCCACCCCTGTATTAACAAGATACTAACATTTGGATAACATAAGGATTACTAACAAGTTTACTAACATAAGGATTACTAACAAGTTAATAAACATAAAGATTACTAACAAGTTTATAAACATAAGGATTACTAACAAGTTTACTAACATAAAGATTACTAACAAGTTTATAAACATAAGGATTACTAACAAGTTTATAAACATAAGGATTACTAATAAGTTTACTAACATAAGGATTACTAACAAGTTTACTAACATAAGGATTACTAACAAGTTTACTAACATAAGGATTACTAACAAGATTACTAACATAAGGATTACTAATAAGTTTATTAACATAAGGATTACTAATAAGTTTATTAACATAAGGATTACTAATAAGTTTATTAACATAAGGATTACTAACAAGTTTACAAACATAAGGATTACTAACAAGTTTAACAACACTTGGATCGCCAACACTAGGATTACTATCAAGATTACTAATATGCGCTTTATGTTTAACTCTTGTCAAATATTTTCAGAGCCATCGAGTGCTGCTTATCCGACTCAATTGAAACCATTGGTTCTTTTTGAAGGTACTAATTATAATGGAGGTTTTGTACTAGGAGATCCCGACAATTTTTATCAGTTTGCCTCCAATTTACGTGGCGCACGTGTAAATACTTACCAATCTATGCGTATCTTATATAACCGTTCTGTTACGTTTTCTCAAAATAAAATAAGGAGTGCTGAATGGATTGTTGGAAACAACATTCCGAATATTGCAGATTTTATGGCTGCAAATAATGCTTTGGCAGATCCTATCTGGTTTAACTTTGACCAAAGTATTTCTTTAAATTTTTACGTAAAAGTTGCAGGAAATTCTAATTGTGATAATTGTAGTTTATTAGGTGGTGTGTGTTACACAGGCAGCTGCGTTTGTCTACCAAAATATTCTGGATTGAACTGCGAGATATTTAACTAAAATCCTGACATTAAAAGTGCTTGTAACAGCAAGTTTCATTTTGTAAATAAACTGTCGACAAACTTTCTGTCGAAAACAAATATCGATATAAACTTGGTGAAGAGTTTTTAATTTGTGTATTTATTTATATTAACTAAATTTACTTTATAAATTTTTTAAATTATATTAGTTTTGTGAGAATATTTATATCAAATTTATAGGTGAATTGATATTAAGTTTGTAACTGTTTTATAAAATGAAATACTTTAAAAAGCACTTATGTTTTTTTTAATCTAAATCTGTTTAGCAATGTTGTATATATTACATAATGTATGTTGTATATATTACATAATGTATGTTGTATATATTACATAATGTATGTTGTATATATTACATAATGTATGTTGTATATATTACATAATGTATGTTGTATATATTACATAATGTATGTTGTATATATTACATAATGTATGTTGTATATATTACATAATGTATGTTGTATATATTACATAATGTGTGTTGTATATATTACATAATGTATGTTGTATATATTACATAATGTATGTTGTATATATTACATAATGTATGTTGTATATATTACATAATGTATGTTGTATGTATTACATAATGTATGTTGTATATATTACATAATGTATGTTGTATATATTACATAATGTATGTTGTATATATTACATAATGTATGTTGTATATATTACATAATGTATGTTGTATATATTACATAATGTATGTTGTATATATTACATAATGTATGTTGTATATATTACATAATGTATGTTGTATATATTACATAATGTATGTTGTATATATTACATAATGTATGTTGTATATATTACATAATGTATGTTGTATATATTACATAATGTATGTTGTATATATTACATAATGTATGTTGTATATATTACACAATGTATGTTGTATATATTACATAATGTATGTTGTATATATTACATAATGTATGTTGTATATATTACATAATGTATGTTGTATATATTACATAATGTATGTTGTATATATTACACAATGTATGTTGTATATATTACATAATGTATGTTGTATATATTATATAAGGCACATCACAAGGTACCTTGATGTATACGCTACCACCCCATATACGCGCTCTGGGTTAACTAGCTTGGCAGTATGAGGATCCATGCTAACCGTGACTGCGAGCAAGAAAACTCTTGAAGTTTCAATTTCTTCTAAGTATAATATTTTAATGGTGGAGTATAGTATAATAGTAGAGGTTTTCCATTAACAAAAGATAAATTTATAGGATAAATTTGGGTCAAAGAAAATTCTGACCCCATTTTATTCTATAAAATTATTAATTTTGGCATATAAATTTGCCGAATATACTTACAATAATAATAAAATTAAAACTTTACTTTTACAACATTTACAATGCGTTTTTGGACCTTGTCAAGAAGAATGACAACAGTATTCCATACAGGGACGAATAAGAGATTTGTAGAGGTAGATAATGGATTTAGAAGTAAGGAAATGGCGAGTACGATAAAGAGAAGCAACCTTAGCAGAAGCTAATTTAGCAATTGATTGTATATATGGTTTCCATGAAAGGTCAGTAGTAAGCGATAATCCAAGAAGACGTAAAGAGGACGACTCAGTAAGAGGATTGCCATTCATTAATATAGGAATGTTGACCATATTACGGTAGTTGTTTGCAGTAAACAACTGGGTTTTGTTAGAGTTGAAATTTACAAGCCACTGTAAACCCCAATCTATTACTGAAGTGAGATCGGATTCAAGATCAGCTGCTTGTTCTAGGCGATCGAAAAGGCGAGACTTTTTGTCAAGACAGGAGTATAAAGTTGAGTCATCAGCAAAAAGAGCTACTTTAGATGAAAGGTTGTCAGGAAGATCGTTTATGTAGATAAGAGACAAAACAGGGTCCAGGATGGAACCTTGGGGAACCCCAGAAGTTACTGGAAATAAGAAGTTACTGGAAATTCAAGGATGACTTTAATAAACTGATTAGAAAGAAATGATTTGATAATCTCAAAAACTTTCCCACCATATGAAGCAAGCTTATGGAGAAGACCAGCATGCCAAACTTTGTCGAAAGCTTTAGATATGTCGAGAGCAATAGCCCTAGCCTCACCGCCTCCATCTAATGCACGATAAAATCTTTCAGTTACAGCAGTTAGCAAGTCAGCCGTAGAGCGTAGATCTTACTTCAATTGTAAGTTCAATTGTAGTTAACAGATTTTACTTCCACTGCACAGTGGGAACATTCCATTGAAATAGGTGGCCAAAATATAATCGTTGTATTAATGTGGTTATTAAGCCATAAATGGGTAAAATAGAGACTTAATAAAATATTTTTAATTTTAATGTTTAACCAGCTAATAAGAAGCAGCAGGGGGGGGGGGGGGAATCCACTTAAGCACTGGGACACCAGTTGGATTTTTTTATATTTAATACTTTTGGACATTGTTTAAATAATGGATAATTTTTCAACGCACCAAATGTTCATACTTGATTCAAAATATATTGATTTGCAAAAAAAATTGCGGTGATTTAAGCCCGGGATTAAAAATACCCCAAAAAGTTAGCCCCGCTTCACCCCAAATATGAGGGCAATGAGTCTAAAAACAGGTTTTTGATGCTATCTTATACTAAACTTAAATTTATTGACAGGTTTTTGCTTTCATTGGATAATTTTCTGAAAGTTATGATTGTATAAAGTTTACAAGCCCCTTATTTTGGGGATGGTAAAAACTTTAGTTACTACAGTAACTACTAAGTAGTAATAGTTACTACAGTTATATCTTTCGAACTTTAACAGATTAAATAATGAGAATTAAAGTCTGTTATTTTAATTTTCAATTAATAACAAATAATAATAAAACTAATAATAAAAAACAAACAAATAAATAAACTTTTGGGATAATCTTGTGTCCAAACTCTAATAATTTGAACTGAATCATTGCAATTTTTTAAATATTTTATTATATACTTAATAAATTTATAAAGTAAACAAATAAATATAAAGTTATACATTATACAGATGATACAGTTTAGAACTTTATTCTTCTACCTCTATATCTAATTTTAGATTTTCGTCAACGTTATCAACATTTAAATATAATTCACCTAAGTTATTAATTTCATCTAATTCCAATTCAGATAAATCTTTTTCTTTATCATCGCTATAAACTGCTAACAAACTTTTAACTTTTTCCGGTAGGCACAATATTTTCTTACTTTTCAATCTTATAGCTAATGAGATTGAACTAATTAGGATCGGAAGTATGTATACCTAGAATGAAGATGTCAAGTAAGTTTGTTTCTCTACTTTTTTTTCTTGCATGATGTTCACGATCAAATTTATAAATTCTGTGTCGAGATTCAACTGCTTCCTCTCCCATTAAATCAAGTGAAACTGGTAAATTAATAATAATTTCCCTAGCATGAGCTTATACTTTTTGAATGGAATCTGTGAACTTGAACCAATCATATATCTTTAATAACTTCTTATATGTATCATTGCAGTATTTATCAATTTTTTCCGGATCATTTGGGTCTTTGCAATTATTTGCAATTAGAATGTTATGTAACCTGATAATTTCTTCATTCATTTCTAGAATTTTGCTGAGTAATAGAGGATCAGAAAAAGCTCATGTGCATAAATTTCCGGTATTACTAGTTCCACTAGCTGATCCACCAGCTTTTGGTTCATCAACTCTCAAACCAAATTTTTCAAACATCCTATCATGTATAATTTTTTCTCTCAAAAAATATTGATCTTTTGAAGACCTTTTCTACATTCCAAGTTTTTTTCAGTCTATATGAAATATGAATTAACTCAAAAAACCTAATACAAGCATGTAGTGGTCAAATGCCATAGCACAATGCCTGCCTATTTGTAACAAACCTTTTTTTAGATCGCTCATCGTGTTAGGTGTGGCGTGACAAATCGGACAACATTGTGTCGAAGAAGTCTCCGTGATGTAACTAAGATTTTTCCATCAATTGAAAGGATAAAACTATAGTTGATAAAAACATACTTATGTCCTGAAAGGTAAACTTTACCAGTATATAAATTAAGAGTTTCTTTTTCAATTTTTTCCTTAATTTTTAATACCACTTCTTTATTCTCATTTACATACTCCAGTATAATTGGTCCACAGAATCTAATACTTTGAGACATTATGTTATTCCATAAAAGATTGTTTAAATCTGATTGTACATGTATTCGAAGAAGTGATGTTACTGTGACTAATAGATCTGAATCTTGAAGGTTATTTTGATTGGAATTATTAAAACGCTAATAGTATTTTTAGTGACTTGATGTTTCGTCCATACCCTGACAACTAATCAGTATTAATTTATCAAAGTCTTTCTTTTTATCATCAAAACTTTTAAAATTTTCTTCTCCCGTAGTTTCACAAGTCTTTTGGATGTATGATCCATAAGATCCTGTAGTTTAACTTTGGCCTTTATTTCAGTAACTTTAATGGATGTTTTAAGGTGAGCACCCGTTTTTTATTTCAAAAATTACTCGATAAGATGGAAACCTGCATGGTGCTTCTTTATGGGTATTTTCAGAAACACTTCCTGAAGGTTTGTTATGCAAGAAATATACAAAAGCTTCTTCAGACGTCGTTTTCTCTCGCTATTGTATTTATTTTGTATTCTCTGACTTGAATTCTAGTAATGTATTTAAACCTACTATTTACATTTTCAAAAGTATTTACCGAAACCTGAAAACATTGCACAATTTGTATTAAATTGATTTCCTCCATTATCTTAGTTTACAACAATAAACTTACAAAATAAAAAGAAACTTTTCAACATCATTTAGAAATTCATATGGTTTTGGTCGATTAGTGGGGCATTAAAAATGCACTTTAGAATTATTTTTTCTTAAATTAGCTATGCATTTTAAAACCATAAACTCATGAAGTTATAATAAAAAAATTTTTCTTTTAGTAACAACACGAAAACAAATTTATTTTAGTCTTTCATGATTTAAAGTAGTTTGTATGTTTTTTACTTTTTGTAATGAATGAAAAAAATTATTTTGATCGAAGTTTTTTATTTGTTTAAAAAAACATCAATTTTTCAAAATTATGTAGCGCTCAAGATCGCGGATGATCGCAGCTACACTTCTCAGGGTAGTTAGTAGATACTATAGACTAAAAAATATCAAAATATGAAAAAGGTACAAATTGGAACAATTTTTTAATTCTTCATCAAAGATAAAATTTAGTACTTTTGTGATGAATTTTTTA